CTGACGCTTGTACTGTCAATGACGGTAGTAACAGCATTAAGACAGTCACCTTATGCTTTACTCATTTCATTAGTTACTGGGCAAAAGCTGATTATTGAATCAAAAACAACATCTTTAATATCATTACCAAAGAAATCAGTTTTTCGTTTAAGTAGAGATAAGGGATTCTTGCTGCTCTCAATTAGAGTGTTCCTAACATCTTTTACTACCTGAATGCCAGATATGTAGTCAAGTCCTGTACCTGGTGCAATATAAAATTTTGTTATCCAAGGGCCAGAAAGTAGCTTTCCAATTAAAGCTAAAACACACAACTCACGGATACCTAAGGTAAATTAGTTAATAAGTAACAAAAAATAAAATTTGTTTTTATTCTTTGTTAATCATGTGTCATTACTATGTTATAAAGATGCATTCTATAACCTATAATATTGTAAATAATAGTGGTATACCTATTTCAGATGTAAAGTCTTGAAACAAACTATTTTGCAGACCTCCACATAACGCCAAGCCAGAACACAGAAATATCTTCAATATGGCATAATGATGGATCAAAATACCACATGTGTGAAAAAGTATATGTAGTCTGTTCCCTCCATAGCGTAGTAGCAATCCTCTGGGCAACTCATGTTGGTCCAAAAAGGTTACAAAACCCTTTGGATCGCCTATGAATAACATAAAGAAAGTCATTTTGGGAATTGCAAGGAGAATATGAATTAAAAACATGCAATAATTATAATATTTATTTTTTTTTAACTTGTAACTTTATTTACAAAACTACACTATATTAAAGTAAAAGAATGGTTTTAAAACTATTAATATATAGGTACCTTTAGCATCCTTGTAACGAAGTTTGTTCAGCTGTACAACAATGTTTGCTGCTATGCAGTCTCTTCCAAAAAGTTTCCCTTTTGAAGTCTCTAATGCTTTAAGTGAAGACTTGCAAGAGCTTGTCATTGTGTCCAAGGGGTGAAGGTGACAGTTAAGTTCATTAAATGGTTTCTGCCAAACTAGGTTTAACTTTGTGACTGTTGCATGGTTTGTTGCAACTCTATCACTCATGGTAATTGTTATGTTCCCGATAATAGTGCTTCTTACTTCAGTGTATTTAAGCTTGTAGAAGTCACTACATAACTTAGCAAGATTATCAACAGATTTTGTAATATGACTCTGATAGTCATAAGCTGTACCTCCAGGAAGTTGATCAATAGCTACAACCATACATACTGATTCGATTTTTAAGTGCACAGCATTTACATGAACACCCTCCTGGGTTGTTGCATCAAAACCAAGTGTCAGATCTTTCGTTGTAAACGCTATCTCAGCAGTCTGTAAGTTGGTGTTCTGAAAGAACACCAAGCTCACGCATCATTTGTTCTACAGTTGTCCGATGTGGACTTGGCTATCAATTTGACTAAATTGATAGCCAGTATGTTCTCTAATTTTATGTCATATATAAGTGTTCTGATATCTGCTGAGTAGCATTTTTCATTTTTGGTGTTTTGTGTTACTTGCTGAATTTCTTCTAACTTTTCCTGTAAAACCAGTATGTCATTTTGAAGTACAAGAATTGCAGAATTTTTGTCAGCAAGTTGTTGGGATAACATTGTCTTTTGATTAAAAAACTTGGTTTCGGTGAATGTTAACTGTTGTTTCAAATAAAAAATTTGATTTTGAAGTTTTTTTAACTGTATATTTAAAAAATTTTCTTTTAATTTTTTTCTTAGTTGATGAATTATCTTTTCCTTACGAGCAATAACTTGATTTAGATGTTTTAATCTGTATGGTCTAGCCTTTGCCTTTTCTCTTAAACCTTTAAGATCTTCTTTATGTTTTCTCTTTTTAATTATGATTTTGTTTTCCAAAATGATTAATCTCTTTCACATAATCTTTTTCCTGGGACTAACCTGGTCAGCTCTCAACCTGGATAATGATTCTTGAGAAGAGTCACTATTTGATAGAGACGAAACAGTGATTTGCTGAGAAAAAAATGAAGAACACGTAGCAATGTGATTAGAGGTTGTGATTAACTGTGATATTTGAGTCAGAGCAGATGTTGTTGGTTGGTATTCAAAGAGCATGTTGCAGATGTCAATAAATTGTTTTGAATTTTGTGAAAAAGCTTTTACAAAGACTTTAGACTTTATTATGGGTACAGAAAAAAATTGAGAAAATGCTGTTTTTGTTTGTTATTATTTCGCATTTTATTCTGAATCACCATAAAAAAGTGTCATAATTTTTATTTCAGCATTTTAAATTAGATTTAACAGAATTTAGCCTTGAAACAAATTTTGGTGTGTGAAATCATCAGTAGTGTTAGTAATATTATTACTAACAACTTTTTTTTAATAGCCATTTCTTACTAATAAAAGGCTATTGAAAAAAAAATTGTATACTGTTTTAAATTTTAAAAAGGTTATTTTTATTGAATCATTAAAAAGTTTCTAATGAAAGCTATCTATATATCTCATTATTATGAATAAACAATCTGATATATTAAATGCTCACTATCAAATTACGTCCCCCCCCTCCCCGCTTAAACGGAAATACATTTCTCCACTGAACAGAAAAATAGGGTTGTCTGCGCATGAATATTTTTTAATGAAATTTGGCAGGCACATAGAAAATAGATTTATACTGCTTACTGGAAAATTTTAAAGTGTAGCAACATGTCTTCATCATTAATGTACCTCCAGAACAGAAACGAAATTTGAAAATCTAATAATTATCACTTGTAAATGTAAAAAAAATAACGGAATTTATATCAAGGAGTAACAGTAACATTAACAGTTTAATAAAGTGTAACAGTATATATATATATATATATATATATATATATATATATATATATATATATATATATATATATATATATATATATATATAATTTTAATGCAAGACCGGAATTTTTTCATTTATTTTAGTAAATTATGATATTTAGTAAATTCAAAAAACCATCGGTGTTTTTAATTTACTAAATACAATATTATTATTTATAGTTAAAACTTACCACGCTCATCTTACCAATATTTTATTTATGCATATTGCAATACTAATGCATAATTTATATATATATATATATATATATATATATATATATATATATATATATATATATATATATATAAATAACTTTATATATCTATATATTGTACAACATTCAAAAATTATGTATTAATTGGATTTTATGGTTACTTTTATCCATTGAGTAATTATTATACAACTCTATATCTTCTTCCGCGCCTCACCCTCACAATGAATGTATGTTGTAAGCTAATAAAACATCGTTTTTATTTTTTAAACTAGTTTTTCTCATTTTATTAAGGATAAAAATATTTTTGAAAATGAACTAATTTTATCTAATAGGTTGTGTTGCAACATCGCTACTTTATTCAATAAGTAAACCTCTAACTATTGCTCGTGAGTCGGAATAAAATAAAATTTAACAGCTTTGTGTTCATAGATAACAAACTTTGTGCTCATAGAATCTTTGTATGATCACTAATATTATTTTCAAAAATATTAGTGACCTGTTAAATAATGTTGAGTCTTTAGGCACCTGTTAAAAATTTTTAGCACAAGATTTTCTTCAAATCTTACTGTGAACAACCGTGAAATTTGTTTAAGTAATTGTCCACATATATTAGGGCGATTACAAAACCACCATTAAAAAACAAACCTTGCTGCTTTTATAACCATCCAAAAAACATCGTTTTCAGACCAATGTGGTTCGGACAGTTTTCCATGTTATTATTTTCTCAATGAAAATTATATTATAAAAATAAGTTATTTATGTAAGTAATATATGGAAAAAAATCTAAATACAGCATCCCATTTTTTCCATCTAATTTAACTTGTAGCTAGTGATTTTCTCTTTTTTTTTATATTTTAAAATTTGTCTAAATTTTTGTACGGATTATGTTTGCATAAGAAAACTATTTTATTTCATAAAATTTCTGTAAATAAAAATTTCTAGATGCTTTTTTCATTAGGAAAACTTGTTTTTATGGGACAAATACGTAGAAATAACATCACGAAAAAATCAAAACTTCATTGATTTATTAATATATAATATTACATATAAATCAGTACAGTGAAAAAATTTCGAAATTACTAATTTGAATTATAAAATTGTAACAATATTTATATAGCTTTAAGTAAATAGTATGAAAACTAACGACATTCCGTCTTAGCTTTTAGAAAATGTTTAGAGTATAAGATTTCTAACCCATAACAACCGTAACTCTCCCTAAAAAATGGAATAAACTATTATTGAAAACACAGATTGCATATAAATATTTTTTTTAATTCGTGTTAAAAAAATTAAAATACTCGCTAAATGAATAATAAATAATAAACCGAACTCGTAAGAATGCTGTTGTGAAGTATTAACAGCACTAAAAATAAAAAATGAAAACATCAAAATATACATTTTATTTATAAAACTTGATTCTTGGCTTTTAGTTAATGATTAAAAGTGGAGTTTCAGTAACGAAACTACCTAATAATCATTATTAACAATAGACACCAACGAGAAGGTAGCCAAGTTGTCTATCAACACAAAACAGCACAACAATAACATAACAATGATTACACACAACAATAACAAAGGAAATATACATATAACAACTTACGGATGAGCCAACACGGTGCGAGAGATTAATACAGAACACAAACAAACATAAAATAACTTATGATATAGCAACACTGCATCTGGGCTCAAACAAAACAAACACAACAAAAACATAAAAATGATAACACAACAATAACATAGCAAATATAAAGCGACTTACAAGTGAGCGAACACCATGCCAGAGGTCTACACAGAACAAACATAAAAAAAAATCGACTTACGAGTGAATTAACACCACGCCAGAGGTTTACACAGAACACATATATACATAAGGCAACTTACAGGTAAGCTGACACTGTGCCAGAGGTGTTGGCTCACCTGTATCCTATACCCACCCCTGCTCACTATTTCTTTATTGTAGACTTATCAGACCTTTTTTTAATGTTTGATCGAAGCCCACCTTTTGATTTAGTTTTTTTCAACATAGCTTTTTGTCTTTGAACAACATCTTTAGTCATCGAAAATGATCTTACTCTTAAGTATAATTTCACCATACTCTCTTAAAGATTTGTTTAAACTTTTTTATCAATTTCAAATTGGCAGGAGTTCTCAACAATATCATTATAAAAATTTTGCACAGTTGTATTTGTGATTAGCTCAGATGCCATATTTGCAATATCAACTTTTCTTAGCATTGAATTTAGAGTTTCGGACCGAAATTTTATTTCTGTTAGAATAAATATTTGCTGGCACTAATTAAAGACCATCTAATTCTTTTGCAGATATAGGTTTCAGTTCAATTGATTTATTCTCTAAAAAAGATATTTTGTAGTAATACAAAATTTAATCTGTTAACGCTGTTGGATATTAGCGTACTTTAAGATTTTTCAAGATCAATAAAATATTTATCAGACTCAATACAAGTGAAGAATATGTTTTCATGTAAAAACTTTCACCATTTCCTGTCTTCACTAACATTTTGTAAATTTGTTGCACTGTTGGTATAACAGATCGTTTAATATTTTAGAGATATTTTATTTAATGTTATGTCTTGGTAGTATTTTTCACTTAGCAAAGTATTTATAACTTCATTAACTTATAGTCTAACTTCATTAACTTATAGTCTTAACTGATAAGAAATTTTCTCTGCTTCAACAGTATCAGGCTTACCATCAGAATGTTTTGTTCGGATATGTCTTGTTAACCCACCCTTTGTCTTTTTGCACTTTTGACATGAGAATGCAGCAGATGTTGTCACCTAAGAATAACCATTACATGTAAATTTTAAAAAATAAAAATAAATTATAACTACAAAAAAATTAGCGTGCTAAAAAAATAAATAAATTTACTGATTTATTTACACACATGTACAAGCTGCTGACTTGATCAGTCCAGTGTGAATAAACCATAATTACACTAAAATATGTACAATGTATAAATATAAAATATAAAGTTTTACTTGCCTCGTCTAATGCTTCATTTAGATCTACTTCTATTTCATTATTCAAAAGATCCTGATCAATGTCCAAAAACATAAAATCTAAATCTTCAGTACAAAAATATAAATCACTTTCAGCAATTTTAAATTAAAATTTCCACTTACTTTGATCTCGTGACTGCTATTTTTTAGTGTTTAAGTTTCGCTCAAAATCAGCTTCAATTACGCAAGATTTCCCGACCAGTATTACTCCTATTGACTATGGTTTTATTTAGAAGACATCGCAATATATTTAAAATATTTCAATTAAGAGCAAAATAAAATGCTTTAAGAAGCTTAACTATAAACATTTAAGATAAAAATTAAATTGATATAAATTAATTGCACTTATAAAGCTAAATATATTCTTAGCTTATAGTAAATTTTAAAAGCAGCAACTGCAATATATCACTTTTAACAATTGAATGTAGCATCATTATACTATGATTATTTGGATGATTTAATTGTATTTTAGGTTTAATTTAGTTTTGATTTTAATTAATAAAGAAGAAAAAAAATCAAATATACAACAAATATATCATCAAAAAAAAAAAAGTAAACTACTAACTTGAAAAAAAAATTATAATATATTAAAAAAAAACCAAAAAAAAGACAGCAGCAAAAAAGTTATAAATATAATAACTGATAGAAATTATTTATAACTCTTTTATTGCTGTTTGATTTTTGGTGTCTCCGAACACACCGGTACAGATGAGCCCTCCATTGGAAGGAGGACTCATCCACTTATTTACAGAACACCACTTATTAAAAAACCTTTCTAAGAGAGGCCCTGGGTGTTGGGAGCAATATTTTTTATACATATCGTATGTCAATTGATCTAAAATAACAAATAGAAGGATATGATCAAAGTTATAAATATTTGGAATTTTATTCAATCAAAATATAAAGCATAACCTCACCATTCTGTTTAATCGTCTTGTTGATGTTGTCATTATAAAGTTTTTTCAACATCAATTACTATTTATATAATTATTACAATAAATTAATTATAATTATTGAATACATTTTCTAAGTAGGTGATTATTGTATTTTTATAAATTATTGTAAAAAAAGTTAAAATTGATATTGTGAAACCTTTATAATGAGCTACCTAAAAAAGCTTCTTGTCACAGAGAAACCTCTATTAAAGAAATTAGTAGATTTTTTTAAATGATTTTTTCTTTTTGTCATGGTGTTTACAGTTTGCATCAAGCAAATTACGGTGTCTTTTGAACAGCTCACTCATGCAAACAATAATGTCCATAATTTTAAAAAATATATAAATTACTGTTTGACCCTTCTGACAACTTAAAGTTAGTAATATATGTTATTATAAACTAAAATAAAAATAAACATACAAAATAACAATAGGAGAGTTTTTAAACTTAAAAAGTAAAACATGTTAAATAATTCACTAAATTTAAACATAATAACTTTTTTATTTACAACCAACAATTAATTGCAAATTTTGACTAGTTTCATATTTGAGTTGGTAAAAAATCTTGTAAACAATAAAATAATATTTAAGATAAACTAAGGAAAATTTTAAAATCTTATAATTTTTTTACATGCATTTTTGGTATTCTTTTTCTGCTCAACTAGTTAAATGTTCTAATATCATAATGTTTGTATTAGGATTTGTGGCTATGAAAATAGCCGTTTTGATAAAAATACTTCCTTTGTTCTTCTTGTCTTACTTTCTAAAATTAAGAAGAAAATAATTTCAAAAAAACACAACACAAACTGCAATTCAGATTATAAAATAAAAGTTTAAATAAGTTCACATATTAATATATCTGTGAAATTATTTAAAACTTCTATGGTAATAAATAAATAAGTCCATATGGCAATAACAAAAATTCATATTATGTTAAATATACTATATATAACTTATTTACATAGGTTATCCTAGTCATGTTTTAAATATTACATCATATTACTTTTAAGCATTTGACAAGCACTTAAAAAGTATTAAGTTGAGTTTTTCAATCCCAGGATTTCCTGGGGACAAATTTTTCAATCCCAGGATTAAAAATTTCTGGGATTTTTGCTATCCCTACTGGTTACTTTAATCAAAAATGTCACAAGATTAAATAACATTGTAGTTAGTGTACCTTTTATTTTGTTTGAGAGTTTGGTTTGTTTCTGACATCATCTTAGAATGCAACATTTTTATCATCATCATCACTGCAATAAAGTTAATATAAATTTAATATATAATATTTAATTATTAATTTAATTAACATTTAATTAACTTCCATAATTTATTGAAATATTTAATCGCATCTTTTTAGAAGTTCTAGAAAGGGAAAAAAGTCCTTGCTTTTGTAGTAACTTTCATCATTTTATATCAAAATGTTTTTTAAAACAAACAAGCTTTTGTTCAATAATATTCTATTTTTACATCTAAGCAATTTAATTCAATGGAAACCTAACAAAAACATAACTATCCTGAGTTGAGAATGGAAATCTGACAAAAACATAACTATCCTGAGTTGAGAATTAGTTAAGCAATTATCAACAAAACAAAAAAAACAGTTTACTAATGGGGATAAAAAGAATATTAAGAATTCAACTGAACTATATATTTTAAATATTTTAATTATAAAATTATTTAATATATTGAATGTTTCAAAATATAATATTGCTTCATTATTTTTGATTAAATTTAACTACAACAGCACCGATTAGTTCCCAGTAATATTTTGCTCAAAATATTAACCTGACTATCAAAAATAAAAAAACATACCAAAGTGACAAGTCTGGAATGGTCTTCAAGACTTTGAATAATTTTTCTGTCCGTACAACCTCCTTGCAACTGTTAAAAAACTTGGTTGCAGCTTGATAGTAAAGCCATTTGCCCAACTAAATTCATATGAAAATTTGTAAAAAAAAATTGAACATTATTTGCATCAAATACAGTAAATTAGATAAAGCATATAAGATAAACAATCTATTAAATAGCTGTAGTTGCTTTTTAGTTTCTTTTTGAAATATTTTGAAGTTTTCAGAAATAATTAAGTTTTATTATACTTTTTTTTTCCTTTTAATATTCTATATTATTTTATTTTTTATATTTTAATGTTATCTGAATTTAATTTTAAGATTTTATTTTATCTTCAACAAATGAAATCTTAAATTAAAGCTGTCCTGTTTTTTTGAACAACTTTTTAATCAAATAATTGGAATATTAAATTAAGTTTTAGACCCTTTATCTAACAAAACATTATGAAATATTTAATAATATTGAAGATATGACAGAGAAATAGAACTTAATATAATAAGCCTGATTAAACTCGAATAATTCCAATAAAATATTTATTTATTCATTCATTTATTAAGTTATTTTTGTTAAGTAAGCTATAAAAAAGATAAAGGGGAGTGTAAATTAATTGTCTCATTTTTTTAGTATAAAAATTTACTACTGTCAAAGTCATTAAGAAATTTATTTTCGGGAAGTTAACAAATTCAGCCAAATAACAGATACAGCTTAATAATTTTTTTTTGATCAAACAAAATCAAATTAAATATTTAATTAGCCAATAAAAAGATAAATGAATGTTAATTAGCCAGTTAAAAGTTAAAAAAATGTTGATTAGCCAATTAAAAGATAAAAGAATGCTAATTAACCAACCAATTACTCAAATTAAACATGAAATTAAAAATTTATTTTTAATCAAAATACCTTTCCAACAGTGCAAGCTTCCTGTTCTGTTAAAATAAGGACAGCAAAAAGATCTATTAATTTTGGTTCATCAACCAAAAGATTTGAAACATGATTAAAAACTTCTATTATGGAGGATTTTCCAGTTTCGAGTTTGTTCATTAAAATAAGATACTGCTTTTTTAAATTACTATTATTTGTTTTACATAAAGTTTCATAAAATAACAACTTATTTTCAGTTGCATGCTTTGATAAACCTAGAGAATTCACAAAAAATGTGTTATGATGAGATAATTTTTCCTATTTACTAAATTTTTAGAAGTTAAATTAACTTGAAGTAGATCAATATATAGATAATGTACAATAAGAAATACTCTTACTGCTTTCAACAAATGAACAAGAATCATTAACTGACGAGCCATCAGCAACATTCTAGGGAAAAAAAACTCTGTATAATATACTAACTTTCATTAAAAGAATATTAGTTCAACATTATAGCCGAAATTAGAAAGAAAGAAAACAACAAACCCGTAACTAAAAATATTTTTACCTAATCTGTTTTAATTAAATAGGTATCAGACCTGACTTTTTTTAATACCTGAAAACTTTATAAGCACCCACACCCATCTATTACCATTAGGTAGGTAGTACTACTGTAAACATACAATAAGGGCTATGGTATGTTTACAGACAACTACAATAGTTCAGTTTTTCTGACAGAATTTTATTCTGTCAAAATACTGTCTAAGACTACAACAACTCTGTAGTACAAAAAAGCAGGAGTTCGTATCCTGGGAATAATGTTAAATAAATAATTTAACCTTTAAACCAAATTTTCAAATAATAAAGCTATTTTTCTAAAAATTTTGAGTTTTGATAGAATATTATAAAAGGTTTAATAGGAGAACAAATGGTTAAACTAACTGTTAAAAGATTTATGGCAAACAAAATCACGACTTGGAGTAGTGAGTAGAGTCGGAGTCATGGTTTTGTTTAGCAACTCTGACTCAGATAAATATGTTGCAAATCAGCAAGTCCGACTCCACAGCCCTGGCTCTGTGTAATGCCAATAAAAGTAAACTAAAACCTCCTTGTTGTCAGCAGAAGCATGTTGCATCTTATCAATTTTAAAAAGACGGAATTACTTCACATAGCTTTTCTTTGGAATAATAGTTTTGAAACATTATTATATTCAAATGTTAACGTTTTTTTTTTTGGTAAAACAATTTACTTAATGTTTAAAAAGATTTACCTAATGTTTACAAAAAAAAGAAAAGGAAAGCATCAGTAAATCTTATATTCAGAATCTTTTAGCCTTGGTTGCAGTTAAACAAAATTAGTGCTAGTCATAACAGTTATATTAGTTTCGTTGTTACTTTTATTATATATTAGTTATGTGATTTGGATTGTTATTTTCATTTAAATAATAGTTAAGTAGATCATATAAGAAAAAATAGTTTTGCAGCAACCGTGTTAGTATTTGTAAACGAAAAATCTTAAACTTAGATCTTACAAAAGTTAGGATAATAGAATGGAGCGTAATTGTAATAAAATACAATGTCTATATATTATCTGTATGTTCTAAAATACATAGGATAATAGAACAGAGCCTATTGTCCTAAATACATTGTCTATATTAAGCTAAAGAAAAGTTAACTATATTTACATAGCGCTTTTTGTCTAAAAAATGTGAAAGAAGTTTAAGTATGATAATAGAAATTGTCCTCCATACAAGAAAAAAAATTTATTTTTCTTCAATTTTTTTAAACAACTTCTAACAAGACTGCAAGCAACCACGATTAGATTTGGAATAGATTTGGATAACCCTGTACTGTGATAAACATGCTATGCCCAGTACTAGGGATGTGGTTAAGAATAAAACTTTCACATTCAAAACAAGTGTATTTTAACTACATCACAACAGCATCAAGATTCTTTTATTAATAATAGTAAAAAGTTAAAACTTTAACATAAAGTTTGAAAAAGTTTTACTTACATTCGTCTCAGCTTTACTCACATTTCTTTGTTCCGATGCTTTACTTGCCATTATTTTAAAACTAACATATATAAAAATAGTATTTTATACTTTGTAACACAATATTGTTAGGAAGATAATAAAATCAGTTTTGAAATTAACCCTGCTATATTTTTAATATTTTAATAACTAGTAAGCATTATTTATAATAGTAACATTTTTCCAAGAAAAAATATTATACACAAAAAAATTATAAAAAACTAATATTTTTTAAAAAGTTAAAGAAACAAAATTTTTTTAAAATTGAAACCACTGATAACTTCAGATAATACAAATAAAATAAATTTTTTTTCATAATTTTCGCTATTAAATTGTTTTTGTTCAAATTAAACTGTTAACGCTTATGTTTTGCGATAACTTGCTTTATTTTTGTAAAAATAAAAACAAAATCTCAAATAATATAAAAAAGAAGGGAAAAATTGTGTAAAAAACTGCAAATCATAAGCAGTAAAAATAACAAGGGAGAAAAAGGGTCATAATATCAAAATTTTATCTAAAAAAAAAATTATTATTTTTGAATTTCTTTTAAAATAGAATGATTAAAATACAAATTAAATTATACTAGGTTACAACATATACTAGCTGTGCATAATGAAATGACAGCAGGTTGTGTTCTTTTACTTTAATCCTAAATAAATATAAATATTTGAATTAATTATAATAAATAACTCATAAAACAATGATAAAAACTAAGCTGCATTTTTTCTTATAAAAAATTAACTCCAAATTACAGCCGCAGTTATTTTGTTAAATATTGTTAATGTTGACTTGTTAATTTAACTTGTTTGTTGTTTATCAAAATATGCGTTTTGATAATTAATTTTTCTTGCTTTTTCTTGCCTGTTAAATAATTGATATTTCAATATACTTTACGTAATATATTTCTAAAATACTTTAGGAAATACATTCCTTGCAAAGTATCCTAACAGTAACTTTAACATATTCTCTATAAAATTAAATGAAAACAAAAAAAAAATAACAGAAACGAGTTTATTAAATAACAAGTATGTTTTTAACACTATTTATTAATAGTATTTATCAATCTTAACTAAATGATAAATTAATAACTTTCCATCTTTAGTGTATGCTTTATAAAACTATAAAAATGCATTAACATTTGTATAATGGTTATCTGTAACAACAGCTCTCATCTTAAATTCAGATTGGTGCATTTAGGCAATACACTCATCAATTTCTTTTTCGGACGAGCCTGTTATGTAAACTTTAGGTTGGAATTTCAAAATGAAGCAAATAATCACTTAATACTAAACTTTTGTCAATGATTTTTTAATATATTAGAGTTTTTCAATTTTATACTTTTAACACTGCGAAACCATTAAAATATAGAAATATGATAAGCATTTATTAGGCAATGAAAAAAAAATAAGGACTTTATTAACAGCTATAGACTCCAAAACAATTGGTATGCCTATTATCTGATATTTTAGGCATACCAATTGGTTTTGAGTCAATCTGATAAATGGCCTAAAAAAATGAGTGGTTCCGAGTTTGACCCTTCCCTGGTAGTACTGCGCTGAACTTGTTTCTCTGCGCAGTGGCCTTACTCGTCAATATATGTGTTTCAAAGTTATAGAGTTAAGACAGGGTTATAACCACAAATAAGTAGCCTCCTCGTCTGTAGTGGCTTTCTCAGCCTTGAGGAGGTGAATTTAAAAAAAATGGCCTGATTTGTTGCATTTTAATTGCTGTATGTTTGAAACATGCAGCAAAACAGAGTATTTACATTGCAAAATATTATTTTACAATATAAACATTTAAATGAAAAACTTGTTTTTAACTTAAAAATTACATTTATAATAAATACATAATTACAGAGCTCTAAAGTTATTTTTAATGGAGTTGAGGGTAGTTTTAGCAATATGTAAGATTATTTTTAGTAGCATGTTGGTCATGGCTGTTTGAAGGTGGACTTACGGCTTCTTGTTTTTTTTTAAATAATTACTAAGGGGTTTATTGCTAAAACTTGCATAACTTTTGAAATATATAAGATAATTTCGTTCTGTTAAAAGAAAATGAACACAAATTAAATGTTTTATGTTTTAACATCAAATAAAATAATCAAGACTGCTTTGATTTTTAAATAAATGTAATAAATGACAAACTTGGCTAAATTTCAAAATCATTGAAATTGTCATAAATATATTTCTTTAAGGTGGTAGACCACTAATTAAATCAAATCCTTCGAAAATTACATTTTAAATATTATTTACATTTGAATTAACTAAAATTTACTCTTGAATGACAAAATTAAAAATGCGTCAAAAAATTCTTTGATTTTAGTTATTGCGTCTTAGAAACTTAAAATTAAAATAATTTTGTTGCAGTGATTATCTCAAAAATTATAAAGCTATTAACTCGAAATTTTCTAAATTTACTTTTAATACAATAAAGAAGATCCTGTACCAAAATCTAAAAAACTTACTAAACAGATTTTTTTTTTAATAAAAAAAACACTTGATAACCAACAAATAAGGCATTTTTGACCATATTCGGGCACTAATATCTTTGAATTGGATTATTGTATTGTCATTATTGTGGTAGGGAACATCCATAACAACAAGAGGAACAACTTCTGAAAATTTATGGAATTAATTATGGAAATTGACAAAGAAAATTTTGAGATATTTACCGCTAAGTCGTAAATTTTAGAGATCTGAAAAAAACACATTTGAACAAAAAAAAAAAAGCATAAAATTTAATTTAGTTTCAAATAAAAACTCCTATCAGTTTTATGTCAATAGTTATTATACTAGTAAATAAATATCAAATATATATATATATATATAAATATATAAAATTGAAATATATATATATATATAAACTACAACCATTATACACCATCAGAAATATCCTCTTTAACTACTGTGTTCTTATTATAGTTTTGTTTTTAGAATATAAACTTATTTTTATAGCTTCTTCACTGTGGCATTCATGCTAGCTTCAGCTATGTAACTTATAATTTCTTTGTATTACTAGTTAAAAAATTACTTTATGGGAACAAACATGTCCATAAAACCACAAAACTTTTTAATACTACAATATTTCTTACCATGTTTCTCAAAAAACTAGTACTGTACATAAGTAAACATTAAAAAATTGCTGCTGGTTTGTTTATAATTTTGGTACAACAAAATTTCTGAATAAAATTAGGAGACAGTTTTATAAGCCGTATATTTTTGAGCATTATAAAAATTTATAATTTAATAGTTACATTTTAGGAAGTTTGATAGCAAACAATTGCAGCCATTTTTTCATCCCATATGTTGGTGTTTATTAATATGTAGCCGTCATTTGCAACATTGAACTGATTGTAATTAGAAGAGCTATTATTTTTATTCACAAAACTATAATTTAAAAGTTTCACAGATTATTTACTGCTTAATCTGGATGTACACATGTCCATTCAAAAATTTTTTTACTAAGCTACATCCAAATTTTATTTCATGCAAGTTAGATACAATTTCTTTAGCTGCATTGTTTGTTACTTGATTTTGATTTTCATTAATAAGTTTAAATATGTATTTATCTTTTCCTTTGTTTTATTTTTCTTTATTTTTTTATTACTTTCCATTACTAATATTGTTTAATCGAAGTGATAGGATAAATGTTGAGTAATACAGAAAACAGAAACTGTAGTTGAAAATTTCAATAAAACTCATGTAGCCAAATGCCCCAAAAGTATGAATCAATAAACAAAAAGTAGTTTTAGAGTTGCAATCACCACATCTGGTATTTTTTATCAAAAATATATACTATTTTTTATATTAAATTTTTTCTATTATTTATATTATTTTATTTATTATAGTATTTTATATTAAAATATAATTGTATAAATACATTTCCTTTTTAGTTGTATATTAACGGAATAAACAAAGCGTTTCTTTAGAAAAATAAAAAAAATTTATTATACCACTTTATTAAAAAATAGTTTTTAATGGTGTTAGCTTTTTTTTTCATAAAACTAACTTGAAATTCTTAATTTACGATAGCTACATTACTGAAAAAAAATATAATTAAAAAAATGATTTTTTTGATTTTTAATAGTGGTCTACCAACTTAAGTTAATATACTGGTATATATTATATAAGTAGTAAATGATATTAAAAATTGAAATACAATCTGCATTTGCTGATTTTCTTTATTCTTTTTTTTTGTTAGTTAGAGCTGTAGACAGTTGCTTTTTAATAAATGCTTCGTTTATTGAAGCTTTAAAACATTTTTCTTTACAATCATTTTTTTGGCGTGATAACTTTAGGCACATTTTATCGAAATCATTATAACTAAGCAAAGTAAAATCAATTGGCAAAATAAAACTCTTAAACTAAATAAATCCCCTCTCTTAATTTAATAACTGTCATTAAAATATAAACGACATTTTTAGTGATCTTATCTGCGTTAATTATTCTCTTAACAAAAGGAAAGTTACATTTATCTTCTCAACCGTCTTGCCATTTAATGCATACTTCCAAAATTTCCCTCTCAGTTAAATACATATTGACGTAGTAATAATAATATAATACAAGCAAATAAAATAATATTGACTGACAAATAAATAAATAATATTGACTGACAAATAAATGCACTAGATAAAAGAAGATATAACAATTTACCTGATATATAATAATCCAATTAGCCAAAGAGAAAGTTCCGTGAAACTTCGCTTACCTTATACCTCCAAAATTTGTCTCGCCGAAACAGTTGTTTCAATGAAATTCGTTGATAAATAGTTTGGGAAGTAACACAATAAAGTTACGTCATCGCTTAGAAATTATTACACAAGTTTAAGCGTAAAATTTAAAGTTTTTTTTTTTAATTTAAAACAATTTGTTGTAAAACATGCCAAGTTTAAAAGCATATTTCCTAAAAAAGCAAAAGGTATATAAAATAATTTTTATATTTTTATTTGCATACAAGGTCAAAATTTCAATAACTTACGTCATCCATCAAAAAATTAATATTTTACATTTAAAAGAAATAAATTAAAAAATACAAAAGCATTAAATGTTGAGTTATAGTAATAAAATCACATAGATAATGTAGGAATCTGATAGAATAGACATTCATTGATAAGTGTTCCAAATTTCAATCATCAACCAAGTAGCTATGTTAGCGAATCTTGGTTGGCCCAAGACAGGTTTTCCGTAAAAATCCCCAAAAACAGAAAAGTTATCCAAAATCATTTAAAACATTTTAACAATGTTTATTTTTATTTCTTTTAAGGTAAATAGGAGTCTTTGGTAAATAAATCACGTAATAATGTCTACTCTCGAGCTTAAGCTTACATCCGAAAAGAAATCAGTTTTATGTAATTTCCTCGAATAAAACAAAGATTGAACAAAATAAAGAATAACAAATAAACTCATAAAAATAATAATTATGTATGCATAAAAGGGTGTACCCCAAAAAAAAAAAAAGGACTAAAATTAAAAATAAAAAACATTCTGCTCCAGCAAAAGAGCTAGCTGTAAAATTTCATTTTTCCAAAAAAAGTACGATTTTTTGGGAAAAATGAAAGTTTCTTAAAATTATTTTTAGTTTATAAAGTTATTCTCTGGCGACCAGTATGAGGTTCATTATTGTGTTGCCCAATCAATAATCTCTAACAAAGTTCTGGATCAATAGGATATTCCTTTCTGGGCAGCCATTAATAGCTGCGCAATATTGACACACTCGATAAGCTTCAAAAACATTTTAAATGTGTAAAATGTGTAAAAGTTATTTCTATTTATCCGCCATTTCAACTCTCGTACATGAATCTCAGCTACCCTACCAGCTCAATAAGCTCTCTTATAAGCATGAATTGCAAGCTAAAGAAACCCCGCTCAGTAAGCTTTGTTGAATAATAACGGCTAATAACTGCTAACACTTGGTAGCTTTGGTTTTTTAATTTTTATCGTATTTTTCTATTCCTGATTTATCACCTAGGATACATTGTTAGTTATCCTCTAATCAAGCAGGTATGAAGCATTTACCAAACAATTTAGGAATGAATTATTATTAATAGTAATAAGAGTTTAAAAAACTCAAAAAATGTACTCCCCCTTCCCTCCCCCCCTACCTCCAAAAAAAAAAAAAAAAAGAAGAAGAAGCGATCGATAATATAATTTAACTATTAACGGAAGGCTTCAGATTGATAAAAATGAAATAGGTAGATCTGCTAAGAATTAAAAGAAAATTAGTCCCAATAACTTCTTGTAGTCCCCTGATAAATACCTCTGTGGTTAATGGCCTCTTAACGAACATTAGGACCTCCCTTGTAATATTGTTTAAAAACATTTCAACCTTTTTTTTTTTTTTTTTTTTTTTTTGTATATGTATTTACTGTTAGTTAAAATAACGAAAAGAAATTACAATTAAATAAAAACCTGACGGGAATAAGAAAAAGACAAGTAGTCTTATCGCCAAACCCCCGTTACATTGGTGTTTTGTAAACGTTTTAAATATTAACATGCGAAATAAATATTCAAAAAAATAGTATATACACAAAAAAGAATTTTAAAATAAAAAATATGAAAATATTCAATATGAAAACAATATGGAGACAATAATGGAAAGTAAAAAAAAAAATATTGGAGACAATAATATAAACAATATTGGAGACAATAATGGAAAGTAAAAAAAAAAAAAAAAAAATTGTAAATAAATAAATAAAAAAATGCCTCAAAAATTGAATTCTCTTCAATCTTTAAAATGTGCAGTTGAGGAACTTAAAAGAACAGAGAACTATCTTCAAGGACATTCAGATCACGTTGAAACAAACAAACAAAAAAATTTCCAAGATTTTTTATATTTATCTTGTATGAAACTCTTAATTTACCTACTTGTATAGTGGGTGTTTACTAAATCTAAATAATAATAATATTTTAACGTAATAATTAAAGTATAAAGTGAAACAAAAGTTTACTATTTAGGACTGAACTCATAATTGTAATATACGCGTTTTTTATATATTTTCAAACCAATTTAAAAAACTTTATTCAAGTATTTAAAATAATTTGTTTTTTTCAAACAAATGTCAAATAAATAATCTGCGTGACTTCACGCGTGACTTCTTTTACAAAAGTATTAAGTAAAAAATTCTTATGCTGTAATAAAAAAAAATGGAATTAGATAAAATTAAATTAAAAGGAAAAGTATAATTTTATCGATGAAAATTTTTGCGCGGAGACAAATCGAATAAGAAAAGACTTGCGAGAGAAAATGAAAATTGAAAGACAATCGGGATAATTTGCATATATTTCCTACGACAAGCTTGTACGCGTACGCGAGTGGAATGCAAAAAAAATGTTTTTTAATTTACTACTGTGAATGTACGCGAGTGGAATGCAAAAAAAAAAGTAATTTTTTTTTAATTTTATTTATTTTTTTACATTTTATTTAAATATACGTTATATGCTATCAATGAAGTGGTACGCAATAAATTAATCACTAAGTCTTCCTAAAAGACTTTCAACATGTCGCACACTATTATTTACTGCCAAATCTAAATTATAGCAAAAATGGTAACAAATAATAATAATTTTGAAAAAATAATAAATTTATTTGAAACCCATGCATTACACTTAGACGACGAATCCGATCCGGATATTAATTATTTTACAGATAATACGGCTCGGTGTAGTTAAGGAACTTTTAAAATATTATAATATCTGTATGATATTTTGTTGACTACGACATACTTCCGTTAAATGGTCTGGTTTGTGAATTATGAAGAGACGAAAAAAATTAAAATAATATCATAAAATAATTTTTATTTTATGATACCGCAAAATAAATTTTGCGGTATCATAAAATAAAAAAGTTTGTAGCGAAAAAAACCAGACCGTGGAATATTAAAAAAAAAAAAAATCATTTTAAAATCACAATCGCTCGTCCAAATAAGATTTTATATTAATACGTATATAAGGTGAGAAGAACATTATAGTTTAACAATATGATCTGTTCTGATTGTTTAATAGCAATTTTTTATAATCATAAGCTTTTTCTTGGTCGGAATTCCAGCATTTTTTGTGAAAATAGGTAGAAATATTGTGTTTTGGCAACTATATATAGTTGGTATAAGTCAGAATCGATTAGAACTAGGATCAGTTGTAAATTAAAAAACTTTTAAAAAAGATTTTAAATAAATTCATGTTAATGCCGATGAGCAGAATTGATCGAAAGAATCCATAATAGTGTTCCTTAGATACATTATTACAGGTAGTATAAAATTTTCGAAAGTTATATATAAAAAAGAAAAGTTTCTTTAAATATCATAAAAACCTTAAGTAAAAAAAATTATAACATTTAAAGATCTTGTTTGGGCATAATATGCTGACAAAACCATGCTAATTCCAAATAAAAGTATTCAAATATTTTTTAAATCGCCTTAACTACACCGAGGGGTAAGTTTTTTTGATATTTTGGATATTTTTTATTTATACATATTATTGTAGTTTTGTATTATTTATTTATTCGACATAAAATTTTATATATTTTATAAGTTAATAAACTATACAACTTTAGCATTACTTTAACTTTTTTTAACTAAAAAACTTTAGCTTTTTAGTTAAAAAAATTTTAGTTTTTTAGTTTTTATGACCACCGTTCTTATGATTTTTTCCAAGTGGATGGATATACACTGTACAGCCATCCACTTGACTGTATAGTATACAGTCAAGTCTCAATATCTTGAACCTCCAAGCAGGGCCGGCGCGAGTAGGTGTCACGTGGGGGGGGGGATGCCATTACAACTTTTGCCGACAAATAAAATAAAAAAAAGGTTCTCGTTTTCGAAAATTTGCCGACTGCCATGACGACATTTGCCGACTAACTATCTAAATTACCCCCTCCCCCGCACACACATACACACACCTATATTGCGCCGGCCTTGCCTCCAAGGGACCAAGAAATTAGTTCGAATATTCAAGTTATCGAGAGTACAATCAATAAATAAGAGTTCAACGAAATTCGTAAAAAGTTCGAGATACTCAAAAGTTCGAGGTATCTAGTATTCGAGAGTTGACTGTAATACTGTTTGAGAATGCGGGTTTTTTAATGTTTAATTATTTTTTTATACTATTTATATTTTTTTAGAATTAGATCATATCCTCAAAGAATTATTATGCATGCTATTCATAGCAATATGTTTAATAATAAAAGTATATAAGTTTGTTATTATTATTCTGAAAATTTTATTGAAGAGGTCAAAAATTGCCTTAGAAATGGTGGCGTTCTTTATGGACGGCCCCTAAACATGAATAAGTATTTATTTTATTTTATTTAGGAATTTGAGCAAGATCAAGAGGAATTGCGGCGAAAGTTCTTTAAATTTAACAAGTTTTAAATAAATAATACAACTTGTCATTTTTATTACAATTTTAAGAAAACAACGATGGACCTTTTACTCATAGCGAAGTACACTATAACAATGCGTTTTTGCTAAGTGAAAAGTTTTAAAAAGTAAAACAAAAAGTATAAATTAAAATTAAAACAAAAAGTATATAAATATGTATAAATATATTTATATACTTATATAAGTATATAAAAATATATAAATATATTTAAATAATTTAAGTCATAACTACGAGTTTAATTAAATTTAAATTTGCCAAATTGTCTAATAACTGCTTATAATCGAAAATAATTTGAATAATTTCTAGAACCGAATTTATTAAACATAGAATG